TGGTATTTATTTCATCTTTTTCTTCAATTGATCTTTCTGAGTTAACTTCAGTAATTACTTCATTACTTCCTCCAAATGATCAACATGTCTCATAGACCCCATTCCTACAAGACTGTTCAAAGAAACTCTGCCAATAGTTAATATTTCATTCTTAAATATGATCAACCTATTTCTATTAAGCGGCTATGTACCACAGGTCTTCAGACTGGCAGTAGTTCAACTGTTACTTTAAAAGCCACCTCTAGACCCAGCAGTCTTAACTAATTACAGGACAGCCTTCCCCTAATTAGGACTGGATCAGGTGGCCCAGAAACTTCCCTTAGTTACACTGCAATAGGTCAAGGTTCCCATGAAGCATTAAGTGTTTTTCTTCACTGAGTGTTTTTTCACTCACTATACGTTTACACATACCTCTGCATTTAATTCAAGTTCTCTTCCACGGCATGTCTTTGTCCTGTTTTACTCCTCTCACCCTCAACCGGTCTTGGCAAATGGCTGGCCCTCCCTCAACCTGGTTCTGCTGGACGTTTCTACCTGTAAATAGGGAGCTTTTCCCTCTCATTGTTGCCAAGGAACTTGCTCATAGGGGGTCTTTCGAGTGTGGGGTTAGTGCCCTACAGTCTGTCTTTCTCTGCCCGCGTGTCCTCTCCTCATCCAATCTCTAAAGTAGAGTCCAACTGTTCCCTGGACCCTCTCCAGTACCTCAACGCTGATCAAACCCAGGCCACGGTAGGTAGAGTGCTGATGTTTCTGCTGTGTGTGGTTGTTACTTATAACTGAGAATTAAATATGAATGTGTTTGTGGTTTGCAGGTCAAACTGGCTGCAGGACACAAGTTTGACAGAGATGTTGAACTGCTGATTTATTACAAAGATGCTCACCAGCCCACTGCTGTGGTGGAGGCAGGACAGGCCTCTGCTGAGCCGGGTGAGTGGAAATGATAGGAGTAGTTGATTTGCCAATTTTAAAAATCATTATCTACTTCTGCTTGGAAGTTCAAAATGTTGACATAAACAAAAAGCAATTTCTCAGATTTTTCTGTCTGTTATTTTTCAGGCTCTCTGATGGGTGATCCAGTGGTGATGGTGAGTCTGTACCCTGAGTTCCCCCAGTCTGCAATGGCTTCATGTGGAGAGTTTGTGTTCTTAATGGATCGATCTGGAAGTATGAGTAATACTCGCATCCGCAGTGCCAAGGTATCTGTAATATTTTAATCATAAACTCTTTAGTTTCAAATTGTTCCTCTCACACAGTGGCCTCACTATATTTTCAATGTTCTGTTAAGGATACTCTGCTGCTCCTGTTGAAGAGCTTACCAATGGGCTGCTATTTCAACATTTACAGTTTTGGGTCCTGTTATGAACACATCTTCCCGTGAGTCTCTCCCTCATATCAAAGGCCCTGCTGTCTTTGTTAAAATATCCTAATGGGTGTTTTGGTGCATGTGTTTGTGTGATGGCAGTAAGAGTGTGGAGTACAGCCAGCAGACCATAAAGGAGTCTCTGAAGAAAGTTGAGCAGATGGAGGCTAATCTTGGAGGAACTGAGATCCTGGAGCCCCTCAAATATATTTACAGCCAGCCCTGCATTCCCAATCAGCCAAGACAGGTAACACACACTCACACGCTCTTCTGGTTTGCTGTCCTCGTGGGGACATCCCAATAACATAATGCTTACCCTAAACTTAACCATTAACCATAAACCAATTGTAACCCTAAAACACTAAAACCACAATTTAAGTGTGAAAAATGCCTCCAACAACGTGGGGACCTGGATTTTGGTCCCCACCAGTACAGTAAATTTCAGACTTTGGTCCCCACCAAGATAGTAAGAACCCGTACGCGCGCGCGCGCACACACACACACACACACACACACACACACACACACACACACAACAAACTGCTTTGCATTAATCTCCTGGAAATTTCCTTTGAACTTAATTTTACTTTCTGCTTGCCTTGCTTTAGCCTTAGAACAACTTCATCTTAAAATATAATGATTTAGGATATTTTAGCTTTTTTTATATCACCATGAAGATGCTTTATAGGGATGTATCTACATAGAGCAGATTCAGTTTCATAAAAACATTGGACAAAACTTGGACCACACACGCTCTACAAATGTTTTCTCAGCATTGGCACAGGGTTAAAATATATCACATATTTTAACCCTGTGAATATAATCGTTGTTCATGTAACAGCTTTGTTCTTTAGTTTGGAGTTCATACTAACTGTACATTGTTCTTTGCACACTACCATAAAAACATTTGTGTTTCTGAATCCTAACTCAGCTCTCAGAACAAGCTGTGTGTTTCTGGGTCTGATGTTTTGTCCTCATGTGCCAACTCTCCTCTCTAGCTGTTTGTCTTTACTGATGGAGAGGTGAGGAACACCAAAGAAGTGATAGATCTGGTGAAGAAGAACTCAGATTCTCACAGGTGAAACCACAAAAACACAAGTACGTCTACACAATTACAGAATGTCCAACATGTCCTCTATGTAGAAAACTGTTGTATTGCAGGTGTTTCTCTTTTGGGATTGGGGAAGGGGCCAGCTCTGCTCTCATCAATGGGATGGCCAAAGAAGGAGGAGGTCATGCTCAGTTCATCACAGGGACTGACAGGATGCAGGCAAAAGTAAGACATTAAACACAAAAAGAAAACAAGTTAAGCATTGCAGCAGCAGCAGCAGCAGATGCATATTTGTGATCAGACCTGCAGTGAGTAAAATGTCTGTTCCAGCTGTTTGTGTATATTTGGAGAGTTTTTCATTATTTTTCAGGTGATGCAGTCGCTGCGATTTGCTCTGCAGCCGACTGTGGTCGACATCTCAGTCACATGGGATTTACCAAAGGAAGTGTCTGTCACTGTCCTCTCTCCACCAATCACAGCACTTTTCCAGGGTCAGAGGTCGCTGATTTATGCCCAGCTCACTGGACAGGTAGGAGCAGCAGCCTCTCATGTTGTTGTTTAACTATTTCATAACTTCTGACCCTGTGATTCTGTGTCAGAGCTCAGAGGCAGCAGAGGGCTGTGTGACGGTGAAGTACAGCCTGGCAGGTCATCCCTCTGAGAACCAGTTGCACTTCAGTCTCAGACCTGCAGAGGACACTGGGTAAAACAGAGTTTAAGAAACTCAGTACTTTTCATTGGTTCATGACTTTAGATATATTGGGTTGAAAATAGCAGTAGATTATAATGAATATGAACTGAAATATGTTGTGTTCACATCTGAAATAAAGTATTTAAAAAAAAAACAAAGAAACACTTAAGTCACCCATCTCTTGGTGTTCCTTATTATCTGCAGATTAACAGTCCACAGGTTGGGTGCTCGAACTCTGATTCGCTCCCTGGAGATGGAGGAGAGAGAGCACAGAGAACAGCAAGGTGGAGGTGTGAAGGAGAAGGTGGTGCATCTCAGTGTCCAATCAGGAGTTAGCTGTTCTTTTACTGCCTTCATTGCTGTCAACAAAGACAACAGCAAAGTGATTCAAGGACCTCTTGTGCGCAGAAATATTCCAACAGCCAGTGAGTTTTTCCCAATAGCAAAACTAAAAGTCAGCCACAGCTCTGAAGCAAAGATGGTTCAGCATGAATAAAATCAGTAAAATGTTTGGTTTAATAGAAAGTCAGACTGAAATGAAAAGACAACAAGTACTGTATTTTCCACACTATCAGGCGCACTTAACGTCCTTTATTTTCTCAAAACTCGACAGTGCACCTCCGGTGCGCCTAATTCATGGATTCTGGTTGTGCTTACTGACCTTGAACCGATTTTATGTTGTGCATGGTGCTCAAAAATCCGTCAAAAAATGTTTTAGTACGACTTTGGTAAGCTACGAAGCCACACTGCTTGATGGATTGTTGGAGTTAAACAAACACTGTGGCATCACTGAGAGTTAAAAACTGTCTACATTCTTTCATCTTTCATCTTCAGGCATTCATGAAAACAGAATTTATTAAATTTTATAGAATTAGAAGTTATCAGGAAGTTAGCTCGCTAGTTTCCACCTAAACATGATATACCATGTTTTGACCGAGATTTCTGAAAAAATTAAAAGTGCTGCTCTGCTATCACTTCCAACTTAAATGAAGACAGAAAACTAAACAGCAGTGACTTTTGTAGGGTCACTGAAGATGGACTAGCTGGTATATAATGATGTGCTACATTATTGCTAGAGACACAGCTATGTTAGCATAACATTAGCACAGTGAAGCTGGAGGATGAACGCTAAGGCTTTTTTCCACTCGATAAAAGTTAACGAGGGTTCCCGATAGTTAGGGACAAATGCAATCGCATGGCAGGATGCTGTAAACGAACCAAACGTCAGTCAGGAGAACAACTGAGATAAACTATTCACAATACGAGGTTAGTCATTAATATACTGCAACAATATGGGAATAGAGCAGCTGCTATAAACATTAATGAATCAATGGTACGGAAGTGAAGGAAGCAAGAAGAATGAGTTGAGTAAAGTTTGACTTATCTGACTGTTTTGTTTCACTTAATGGACCTTATAATCCAGTGCGCCTTGTGGTCCAAAAAAATACAGTAGAAACAAGGTGGTAATGTATGGTAGAATGTAGGTACTCATCAGACAGCAGTATCAGAGAGAGGGATGCATGTGAGAAAGGTTTTTTTTTCACTGATTCTCTAAACTTGAACTCATTCTTTTTGTCTTTTCTTTTCTTTATCTTTAAAGTGATCCAGAGTCCTCCTGTGGTGAACAGTTCTCTACGTAGTAAGTAAAAACCTGAATAAGTGTTATTGAAAGAAGCATCTGCAGGATCTTTCAAAATGTTGAAAGATCCTTTAACTACTCATATTAGGGTTTTTCTTCGTGTTTACTCTTTTTGCCTGTGTACAGTGAAAAACACTGAAGAGGTTAGTATTTCGAAATAAGTTAAAAATGACAACGGAAAATATTATTTAGATTTTACATTTAATTAGTATCGGAATGAAATATTATTTTACATTCATAATCTATGTTACTATTCATAATCCTTATTATTACTGTTGCATCATTTATGATTTATCATTATTGTCATTTCATTGACACATTTATTGAAACTGGTGAGGTTATATTAAAGTCTGTATTTCAGGTGTTAGCATAAGCACTATAATCTTTCATTGCAGGTGCAACTGTAATCATGTTATACACATATTGCATAATTAAAGGGTTGAAGCTCGGTCAAGTTAATTAATGGTTTGAAGCTACGGGCAGCGCGATGTCTGGCCGATCAATGGAGCAAAGTTCAGCTATTGAAAGGTTGCCTACATGTTTACAGTATAATTTACTACATATTGCCTGTGTGCATTCAGCAGCCTGCTGCACTGGAGTTTGCCTGGTAACAGATGACGTAGAGGGGGGTCATGCACTGAGGTTAACAACACAGACACATAGTCTGTCTGGGTAAACTGATTGCAAATGTTGTGTAAGTCTAGAAAAGTGTAATAACAGGATGCATCTGGGAGGCGGTGGAGGAACTGTTCTGTTTTAGTGACACGAGTTACCGGTTATCGTCAAAGGAGCTTGCTAAGATAAGATAAGATAAGATAACCTTTATTAGTCCCACACGTGGGAAATTTGTTTTGTCACAGCAGGAAGTGGACAGTGCAAAAGTTATGAAGCAAAAATTAGAATACAATAAGAATAAATACAGTACACAACTGTACAGAATAGAATAAAATAAAATACTATATACAGTAGAATAAAATAGAATAAAAATATACAATAAGATAAAAATAGAATACGAATGCTATATACAACTGAGTAAAAATACAACGATGCCAGAAAAGATTATTGCACTTAGTGTTATTGCACATGTGTGGATGTGTGTGTTTGATCAGTTAAAGTCTTTTTGTGGAGTCTGACAGCAGTGGGGAGGAAAGACCTGCGAAATCTCTCCGTCCCACACCGTGGGTGCCGCAGTCTCCCACTGAAGGAGCTGCTCAGTGCTGTCACAGTCTGCTGCATGGGGTGGGAGATGTTGTCCAACAGTGGATGACAGCTTAGCCGCCATTCTCCTGTCACTCACCACCTCCACTGGGTCCAGAGGGCATCCTAGAACAGAGCTGGCCCTTCGGATCAGCCTGTTCAGTCTCTTCCTGTCCCCAGCAGAGATGCTGCCGCCCCAGCAGACCACACCATAAAAGATAGCAGAAGCCACAACAGAGTCATAGAAGGTCTTCAGGAGTGGGCCCTCCACTCCAAACGACCTGAGTCTCCGCAGCAGGTACAGCCTGCTCTGCCCTTTCCTGTAGAGGGCGTCTGAGTTATGAGTCCAGTCCAGTCTGTTGTTCAGATGAACACCAAGGTACCTGTAGCTGTCCACAGCCTCAATGTCCATACCTTGGATGTTCAATGGTTGCAGTGGAGAATGCTTGTGCCTGCGGAAGTCTACCACCAGCTCCTTGGTTTTACTGGCGTTGATCTGGAGGCACCAGTCCACAAAGTCATGAGTCAGTCCTCTGTACTCCTTGTCGTCCCCATCAGTAATGAGGCCGACTATTGCAGAGTCATCAGAGAACTTCTGCAGGAAGCACTGGGTGGAATTGTGGGAGAAGTCTGCAGTGTAGATGGTGAAGAGGAACGGAGCCAGAACCGTTCCCTCTGGGGCCCCCGTACTGCAGACGACCCTGACCAACACACAGCCCTGAGTCCTCACATACTGTGGTCGGTCGGTGAGGTAGTCCAAAATCCAGGTAGTGAGGTGATGGTCCTCTCCAGAGTTCTCCAGCTTGTCTTTCAGAACCGAGGGAAGAATAGTGTTGAAGGCACTGGAGAAATCAAAGAACATGATTCTCACAGTGCTTCCAGCGGTCTCCAGGTGAGCGAGGGAACGATGTAGGAGGTGAATGACGGCATCATCCGCTCCAATGCCAGGCTGGTAGGCAAACTGAAGTGGGTCCAGTGATGAGCTTGTTAGGTGCCGAAGCTGAGCAAGGACCAACAGCTCCAGGGTCTTCATCAGGTGGGATGTCAGAGCCACCAGCCTGTAGCTGTTGAGGTCCTTGGGGCGTGAAGTCTTTGGCACTGGTACAACACAGGAGGTTTTCCAGAGCTGTGGGACTCTTCCCCGCCTCAGGCTCAGGTTGAAGAGGTGCTCCATCACCCCACACAGTTGGTCCGCGCAGGACCTGACGACCCTCGAGCTGATGCCATCTGGGCTCGCTGCCTTCTTGCCATTAATCCTCCTCAGTTCCCTCCTAACCTGGGTGGTTGAGAGAGACAGGCTGGAGCCTTGTGTTGAGTGTGTATTGGATGCTGTTGTTGGGGGTGGGGAGTGAGCAGGGTGAATAGAGGAGGTGTGAAGTGTCTGAGGTGTCAGAGGTGGAACAGCAGCAGTGGGGGTGGGTGAGTCTGCAGCCGATGTTGCAGACTGCCTCATGGCTGAATCAAATCTGTTGAAGAAATGATTCAGTTCATTTGCCCACCTCACATCCCTCCCAGGCAGAGAGTTCTGCTGTTTGTGGCCTGAGATGGTTCTGAGGCCTCTCCAGACTTCACCAACGTTGTTTTGCTGAAGCTGGTTCTCCATCTTCTGCCTGTAGCTGTCCTTCCCATTCCTTATCAGTCCCCTCAACTCTCTCTGCACCCTTTTCAACTCCTCTTTGTCTTTGGATTTGAAGGCCCTCCTCTTCTGCTTGAGGACAGCTTTAATTTCTGGGGTAATCCAAGGTTTGTTGTTGGAGAAACACCGTACAGTCCTGGTAGGTACGGTGTTATCCACACAGAAATTAATATAGTCAGTAATGCATGTAGTAAGGCTGTCGATGTCCTCTCCGTGGTCGTCACAGATCACCTCCCACACAGTCGACTCAAAACAATCCTTAAGAGCCTCCTCGCTCTCCTCCGACCATCTCTGTACTGTGCGGGTGGCTGGTGGCTCCCTGCGCACTAAGGGCTCATACACAGGGACAAGGTGCACCAGGTTGTGGTCAGATTTGCCCAGTGGAGGGAGAGGTGATGAACTGTATGCCTCTTCGCATTGGCATACAGTAAGTCCAGTGTTTTATTGTCTCTGGTTGAGCAGGTCACATACTGGGTGAAGGTGGGCAGTGTGGAGTCCAATAGAGGCATGATTGAAGTCCCCTGATATTATGAGAAGGGCTCTCGGAGATTGTGTTTGCAGTCTGCTGACCACTGAGTGGAGAGTGTCACAGGCTGCATCCGCGTTGGCCGAGGGGGGGACATACGCTGTTATTGCGATAACATGCGAGAATTCCCGGGACAGGTAGTACGGACGCATGCTAACGGCCAACAGCTCAATGTCAAAGATCTTACGTTTCCAATAATTACAGAAGGAAGAGATGGTCGATAACGTCTCCTTCTCGGGCGACGGCGCTCCTTCCCAGCACGACACCCCCGTCTTTTCCTCCTCAGCTCGCTGGGAATGTCGGGTCTGTCCGCCGGCAGTACCGCTGCGGGACGCAGCGCTAACAGCTGATCCTTACTGTAAACAAAGGATCCCTGCTCTGGGTCCCCAGACACGCGTGAAAAAAGTAGAAATAAACTAAGAAAAACGACCAGAACTAGCACAAAACGGTAGAACATGGTTGCAGAGTCTAATTACTGATACGTTAGTTATAAAAAATTACGAGAAGAAAAAGATAAGAAAGAAAGAAACTCAGAATGAGCAGAGCTGCTGTAACAGGCTGCCGCACACGGGGGGGCGCCGGAAATAAAGATATAACGAGCGGTCACGGTCACGTGGCTTTCCGTTGCCCTGGAGGTCCACCCATTTGTAGTTAGGGCAACAGAAGATGCCTGGGACAGTTCAGCCATAACTTTAAACTTCTCCTGCTCATACATGCTTGGAACGATCTTGTCACACTGAAGTGGACGCGCAACGAGATATCATAGCATGGCTCAAGCACGTTCATCACATTTTAAACCCCTTGTTTTGCACAACAGAATACGGCCTCCCATCTTCAGCTAAACACCCCAGTAGCTTTTGTAATAGCTTTAGCCCGGTCGGATTGGGCAGCAAAGGGCTGCTCAAATGCCGCAAACTCCTCTGCTCCGCCACTTGGACCGCTAGCGCTGGCCATAACTATCGCTTGACAGACCCACCAAGCGCACCATACTCATACTTTTTTTTTCTTTTTCGAATCACAATCGGTTCGGATTTCGGATCAACTGTGATCCGTTGCACCACTATTCTTCAGCGTGTGTTACTGTGTTACTCGCTCAAATGTCCACTTCATACCTGTAGCTCCTCTCTCACACTCAGAGCTCCCCACCAAATCCCACTCATCCACTTAAGACTATCACTGGATTGGCCAGAATACATACCAATTAAATTAAAGAAAATACTGGCACTTCTAACATAAATAAAACATGCTGACTAAGTAGTACACATTACATCTGTCACTTTTTCAGTTTACTAAAGACACAATTTTTTTTTACCATTGATGTGCTAAAATCTAAAGAGGAGCGGATCCGACAGCGACTTACAATGCTTCTAGATAAGAATACTCTTGAAAAGGTGTTTGAATTAACTGAGAAAGCTAGTCTAGCACAGCATGAAAAGTCTAAAACCAGACAACAAGGGACATTTCACTTGTTGTGCGTCGGAAACTACAGCAAAATATGGAGATTGTCCTCAACAGACACCTATGAGAAGACCATAGAGGGAACAGTTCACTCTGCCTGGGATAGGGTTACTGAGACCCCGCCCTCTAGTCCGGCCCGGGGAGGTTGCCGGAGGGTGAGCGTCTGGTAGCTGGGCCCAAGTCCATGGGGCCTGGCCAGGCACAGCCCGAAAAAGGGATATGGGCCCATTGTCCTGCCGGTCCAGCACCCACAGGAGGCTCCGTATCAGTCGGGTGCATTGTGTACCGGGCGGCGGCCAGGAGCGGTGGCCCTGGTGGACCGAGCCACGGCTACCAAGACTGGCAATTGGAACATGGAATGTCACCTCTCTGGTGGGAAAGGAGCCTGAGTTAGTCCGTGAGGTTAAGAGGTACCAGCTAGATATAGTCAGGCTAATTTCAACACACAGCTTGGGCTCTGGAACCAGTCTCTTGGAGAGGAGCCGGACTCTGTCTCAGTCTGGAGTTGCCCCTGGTGAGAGGCAGCGGGCTAGGGTGGGTATCTTGGTATCCCCTCGGCTTGCTGCCTGTATGTTGGGGTTTCTCCCAGTGGACGAGAGGGTTTGTTCCCTGCGTCTCTACGTCAGGGAATGGGTCCTGACTGTTGTCAGGATTGGGGCTGCGGCTGCAGTGATGCAGACACTGTACTGGTCTGTTGTGGTGGAGAGGGAGCTGAGTGTAAAAGGGAAGCTCTGAATTTACCGGTCTATCTACGTCCCTACCCTCGCCTATGGTCACGAGCTGTGGGTAGTGACCGAAAGAACGAGATCACGGATACAAGCAGCAGAAATGGGCTTCCTCCGAAGGGTGGCTGGCCTCTCCCTTAGACATAGGTTGAGAAGTTCGGCCATCCGGGAGGGTCTTGCTGCTCCTTCACATCAAAAGGAGCCAGGCATCTGACAAGGATGGGCGCCTCCTGGGTGAGGTGTGTTGGGCATCCGTGAGGATGCCCCAGGGCAAACCCAGCACATGCTGGAGAGATTATATCTCCTGAGAACGCCTTGGTGTTCCCCCGGACAAACTGGAGAAGGTGGCTGGGGAGAGGGAGGTCTGGGCTTCTCTGCTTAGGCTGCTGCCCCTGTGACCCAGCCCCATATAAGCGGAAGAGGATGGATGGATGGATGTCCTCAGCAGTCAGAAAAGAGAAGGATGCCACACCAAGGATTTGTCTGACAGACAACTCACCCAAGCAGAGAAAAACATCCTTGCAAAAGGATTGACTTTGGTGTGACACCGAGACAAATCCTGCTAGTGGAACTGATCACATCCACAGAAACAGCAATCCAAAACAACAACATTGCAAATGTGGAAGCAGAGCAGCTATGGACAAGAGTTTCGGCCTGTCTCAGCAATACAACATCAGCATGGAGAAGAGGAAGGCACTCACATCACTTAGTAATGACAACAACATTATCATCCTTCTGGCAGACAAGAGTAGGTGCATGGTTTTACTAAACCAGAAAGACTATCATGAGAAACTTTTTTCGCTGCTCAGTAACAAAAATGCCTCTAAAACGAAACCCAGGAAGTGGTTACAGGAAGAGGGTGATAGATTGTCTGAAACAGTTAGAACAAGACAATGATATTGACCGGGCATCGTACCACAGGCTATACTCAGGGGAATCTACACCAAGTCTGTATGGTTTACAGAAGATACATAAACAGGGTGTACCTTTAAAGATCAGTTGTCTGTATGATCAACTTGGTCACCTATAACCTCACAAATTTTCTGGCTTCAATCCTCAACCCAGTGGTAGGCATGTCCGAACACCACATCTAGAACACCTTGGATTTGGTTGAGAAGGTAAAAGAGGTCATTATGAAGGCAGATGAAACAATGGTCTCGTACAATGTCACATCTCTTTTCACTTGAGTTCCAGTCACTGAAGCAGTGGTTAGTAAGAGATTACAGGATAATCCCAACTTCAGCAACAGGACCACTCTCAGCATCTACCAAGTGTGTTTGCTCTGCCCCTCAGCCCTCTGGTTCCCACAATCCTTCTGGGAAAAACACAGAGGCAGCCATCAGTAAACTCCAGACTGTGTCAAGCACACACTCACTGACTTGCTGGGAAACTAACAGTTAGTCATGCAACGATCCCAAATTGATAGGAGCTCAGCCACTCTCTATAGTAGCTCCCTCCAGATGAGGCTGATTAACAGCAGGTGTGTGTCATCATCCACTTCAGGTGTGACCTGCCGGGAGGCTGGTCACACCTGAGTTCACACCTGAGTTCAGTTCAGAGGCCACTGAACCCAAGTGACAATAAAATAAAAAGGCAAGGGTGAGATGGTTAGAATGTGTGCAGAGTAGAGACAGTGGGCTTAGTGGAGAAAGGATGTTTAGGATTGAGCTGAAAGCAGGGAGAAGAGAAATAGAAAAGCAAAAAATTAAAACAAAATGGATGAATGATAGAATAAAAAAATCTCGCCTTAAGGTTCATGTTATATCTCTTTCCATTGTGAATTTTAAAAATTTCTATAAAGATATTTGCTGACTGACCTGTTTTGGGAGCCTTCTATTTTAAAATCTTTGGTTGAATAAGATGGTTGAAAGTTTGTTGTAGAATGTGTTGGGCATACCCTGTTTGAACCCCCTTTGAAGTTTGGAGCTCTTAAGCTATTTGAGTTAGTAGAACTGTTTTTAAAAAACAGTCTTTACATGACTTAATTTAAGTAGTTTGAACATTTGAATTTACAGTGTTTTGTGTGTACAAAATTTAATGTTGTGATATTATTACTAGTACCTTTTGAACCCCTTGATTTGAATCATGATAAGAAGTCCAGTTGATACATTTTGCCACTTATATTTAATCTTATTCTTGTCTCCTGTCTCACAGATGGCCGTGCACACCCACCTGGTAGGTCAGAAGCTGTGTCTCTGTGTTGTATAAATGTAGTAAATGACAACAAACAGTAAATAAACCAGCACATTTCTGTGACACAGCTGCTGTTTAACTACATTTCAGCTTTAATGTGAAATGCAGTTTGTACAGGAGCTGTTATGGGTTTTTGTTTTCGTAGTTATTAACATATAGTCCGTTGTCCAAAGCACCAAGTGAATATGAATATTATTTTGCACAATGTTTAAATTGTTTTTGACTGCTCATGTATGAAGCTCAACAACCAAAAAATTTGTAAATTATGTTTGCTAACATGTTTTCACCTATTTTCTTACTTCTTTTTTTGTCTTTCTCAGCATTCGAGACATATCGTAAGAAACAATGCTTTTTTTAAAATATATTTTGTGTTTTGTAATTATTAACATAGGCTGTTGTCTAGAGCAACAAGTGATGAAGATTGAGTTGTTACAACTTCTGTGATATTTCAAAGATTACTGAATAACTTTCTAGACTTTAAACAATGCTTTTAATGCGTAACTAATTATACCAACATCAGAAGCCAATCACTGAATCTGTTTTCTTCCTTTTCTTTTTTTTCTGTTGACCTCGTATATCTATTTTATCCCTGACCAGAGCATTATCAACCTCTAAGACTAGGTCAGTTTAAAAAAGTTCTTTTTTCATTTTTTACATTGTAACATTAATAAAGAATAAGAAGAGAAAACATATAAAACAAGAAGCATTCAGACAGCACACACCTCTGTGATGGAGTAATTAGAAAGAGTAATTAATTAGATTGCTTGTTACTGAAAAAAGTAACGTCGTTAGTAACTTCATTACTTTTAACCCTGTTATTCACATCCCTGTATCCGAGTACATATATATATATATATATATATGTGTGTGTGTGTGTGTGTGTGTGTGCGTGTGTGTGTGTGTGTGTGTATTAAACGCCTTGGTGGGAATCATGATGAGAAGTTTAGTTGATACATTTTGTTACTGATAATTAATCTTATTCTTATTTTCTGTCTCACAGATGGCTGTTCACGCCTACGTGGTAGGTTAAAAGCTGTGTCTCTGTGTTGTATAAATGTAGTAAATGGTAACAAACAGTGAATAAACCAACACATTTCTGTGACGCAGCTGCTGTTTAACTACATTTCAGCTTTAATGTGAAATGCAGTTTGTACAGAAGCTATTATGTTTGCCCAGGTTTTTTCATAGTTATTAACATAGTCGGTTGTCCAAAGCAGCAAGTGAATATGAATAGTATTCTGCAAAACGTTTAAATTGTTTGTGATGAGTCACAGTATGAAGCTCAACAACCAAAAAATTTGTAAATTATGTTTGCTAACATGTTTTCACCTTTCATCTTTATTTCTTTTTTCTGCTTTCTCAGCATCCGCGGAATATAGTAAGGAAATCTTTTTTTAATATTTTGTGTTTTGTAATTATTAACATTGTCTAAAGCAACACGTGTTGAAGATTGAGTTGTTTCAATGTGTGTGATATTTCAACAATTATTGAATAACTAACAACTTGGTAGACTTTGTAGACTCACTGAGGTTGTTTTCTTAATTATTGAATATCACCTATTTTTTTCCTTGACCAGAGTGTCTTCCATCTGAAAGGACAGGTAAGTTTAAAAGTGTTTTTTTTTTTTTTTTTCTAAATTATACATCAAAAAAGAGTAATTAAGAAAACATATAAAATAAAAAGCATTTTTCCATCTTTGCACATTTTAAAACAGTTTGTAGAGTTTTTATATTTTCAGGTTTGCTTTGGTAGTCATTAATTACATTGGTAGTCATTTGTTGACACAAAGTGAAGAAGGCTGAATTGCTATAACTTTTGTGTTATTTTGAGTATTATTGAATAACTTGTACACTTGAAATAGTTTGCAGTGAGTTGTCACAACATTACAAGCCAATCGTTGAGTTTTTCTTTTATTATGTCTTGCGTATTGGCATCATGCTCAAACATTTCCATTTTATCTCTCTAGAGTGGTCAGGTTTATATATTTTTAAAAAGGCGCACATCAATGGAACAAACGTGTTCATTGTATTTGATTGAATATCACCTATTTTTACCTTGAAGTTTAGTTAATACATTGTGTTACTGATAATTAATCTTATTCTTATCTTCTGTCTCACAGATGGTAATGGAAGCCTACGTGGTAGGTTAAAAGCTGTGTCTCTGTGTTGTAATTATTAACATTATCTAAAGCAACAAGTGATGAAGATTGAGTTGTTACAATGTGTGTGATATTTCAAAGATTACTGAATAACTAATAACTTTGTAGAATTTAAAAACTGCTTAATGAGTAAATAATTATAGCAACATCAGAAGCCAATCACTGTGTTTGTTTTCTTAATTATTGAATATCACCTATTTTTATCCTTGACTAGAGTGTCTTCCATCCAGAAATGAAGGTAAGTTTAAAAGTTTTTTTCCTGCATTGTAACATAAAAAAGAGTAAGTAAGATTTTTTTAAAAAAACATTTTTAAATGTTTTTGCTTTCACAGCACTCATCGATTGTGGTAAGGAAAAAAGTTTTTTAGTATTCTCTGTTTTGTAATTATTAACAGGCTGATGATGATGAAGGTGAAGGTTGAGTTTATTTTCTTCATACTCATATAAATCTAAATTGTATAAATTATTCCTGAACAGCAAGTCAAGGGAGGTCAGTTTAAAAAAATATGTTTACTAATTTCTACAGACACACACACACACACAACAGAGTAAAAAGAAAAAATATGAAACAAGAGGCGCTCTGAGAGTTAAAACCTCCATCAGTGCAGCTTATTTTTTGGGCAATATTTACTTTTATTGTGTTTTTTCTTTTTCGTTTTTTTAAAATTACTTAAATTCATCTGTGAGGTTAAAAATCTGTTTCTGTGATTTTTATAAATATAGCAATTGTCTGCAATCACTAAATAAACTAACACATTTCTCTGACAAAGTTAGTATTTTACCCATTCTAAGCTTGATGTGAAATACACTCATAGAGAAAAAGTTGTTTCATGTTATGTCAATTTTAAGAAAATTAACCATGTCTTTATGATTTTTTTTTTTTAAAAATGGATGATACTGTTTACTTAATGATTTTAACATCAGACTTTTAATTGTGTGTTGTTTAGCTCGATCGCAGGTCATGCGCTCTGCTAGAGGTGAGTAAAAAGCTAAATGTTGCAGAAACAGTGTGATTAAAAATACGTTAAATGGCTGTAAGCACGCAACTAAACACCACATTCGTTTGCCACAGTTGATCTTTAATTTTGCCTTGGAAGCCTTTAACATCTTGTGTTTTTTGCGTTACCATTTCAATCCAGTGATAGTTGTTCTGCTTCTCAATTCTCAGGTCACCATTTGCTCCATGTTTTTAAATCAGCAAGAGACAACATATTGCTGCATTGTGATGACTGTTAAAAAAACATATGAACCAGTTCCTGACATAGGAGTCCAAGAGTTTTCATTGTCCTACATTTAAGAGAGATACCATTGCACTTGTTGCACATTTGCTTAGTCAGGACGCCCACAGGCAGTAGAATTGGAGCAGCTCCTATTTACTTTGTTTTAGATGACCGTTACTGCACTGGATGGATGTGGATTTCTATTTATTGGAAAGGAATAAACTTAACTCAGCATCAGTCATATGAAAGTAATGAATTACCAGATCACCCAGTTGGACTGTAGTGTGTGTGTTTTTATAATAATGACTTGAGCTTCATTGAGTTGTGGTCTCTCTAATCTCGCAGAACCTGATAGCTATGAACCAACAAACAAGTCTGACAGCAAAAAAGGGCTATTTACTCACATGAAGAAGAAGCTACCTGTCTTTTGGAAATCTCATAAGACGCCTACCAACTATGATGATGCTCGTCTAAACTTTGTGTATGAAGGTAATGATTTGATTTGATATACCTTTATTAGTCCCACAAGGGGAAATTTCATAAGGCTGCCGACCTATTGCACGCAATGG